ACATCGCGGGAGCGCAGGACAAGGTAAGTGCTGCAGGGACTCCCTGAGCAACGCTGCAGGGTAATCCCGCGTGTAGCTCGGGGTTACCGCTTTTGGTACTGGAAGTTAACCCCGAGCTGCACTCGGGAATACCGCCAGGGAGGTTAAAGTAAAAAAAAGAACATTTCCTTTAAATATCATGCCGGGGGGGGGGGGGGGTGTCACCGTACACTACCTGCAAAGTTGCACATCTGTACAATGTATAGAACCTGCTACAGAAGGCCTTTTAGGCCTGGTAGGACTTTTAAAGGGAACCACACCCCAAAAAAGTGTGGGGAGGTAGTGTGGGGTCCCCCTAAATTCATACCACACCCTTGATCTGAGCACAGTCCTGGAAGGCCAGGAAAGGTTGGGGACAAACGAGTGCCCTCCCTCCCTGCGGATTACCAGGCCATGTGCCCTCGGGCCTCTTCCCCACAACCCTTGCCCAGTATTTGTGGGGGTCTGCAGGCAGGAGAGCTCATTAGCATCAGGGTACCCCTTTAAATAAGGGGGAACCCTGATGCTGCCCCCCCCCCTAGAATGAGTAAGGGGTACTTGTACCCTACTCATTCACTTGTTCCCTACCCCCATTCACTAAAGGGTTACATTTAATTTAAAAAAGAGACCGGTCTTATGAAAAAATCCTTTCTTGAACAAAAAACAAAACAAAAGTTTTTGACAAGTCCTTTATTTAAAAAAAAAAAAAAAGCTGAACACACGAACGGCCGATGTTTGAGACAAACTTTTGTTCGACTCAAACATCAAGGCCATCGCTACTCTGCAAGTGCAGTTGCTCCAGAATTCAGTGAATGAGGTAGAGCTTCACTTTGCAAAGAATACCCAGTCATATGCAAGGAAAATTTAAAAAAAAGTGCATTTTTGCTTGCAGGTGATTGGATGATGGAAGTCAGCAGAGCCTCTGCTCATTTACTAAGTTTTGGAGCAACTTCTCTTGCAGAGTGCAGCTGCACTTTGCAAAGTGCACAGTCTATTTGCCTTTAGTAAATCGACCCTTATGAATCACACAGGAACTCGTTGAGCATTCCTATGCAATTCACATGTGATTCAGTGCAGTGCAGTTTGAACCAGGGGCGGACTGACCATTTGGAAACTCGGGCACTGCCTGAGGGCCCGGGGTCAGTAGGGGGCCCCATGAGATGCCCCTGGTACCTTTTTCATAGGCTTTTTTGAGTTTTGGGCAAGGACACAGGGGCCCCATGATCCCCTATTGCTCGGGGGCCCCATGAGTTGTCAGTCCACCCCTGGTTTGAACTCATTCGTTTTGAATGGGCTTAAATCGCACTGCATCACACCAAATGTAGTGCATTCACTACTTTTTGCAAATGCACTGCAAATGGATTGTGTGGTACTTTTATACACCAATTGTTCCACTGCAGGCAAATGCACTGCAACCTGCATTTGGGGTGTCATTCACTTAACATCGACACCCACTGCAGATTGCAACTATAGTGCATTTTGAATGAGGTGTGGAGTTTCCAGCACCGTGTTCTAGTGTGAACCTAGCCTTAAACCTAAAAAAGGTCTTTTCTATGTAGTTTTGGCTGTGCCACCTGTTCAAGCACTAATAGGTTTGAAATGACCAGTGAAAGTTATATTCAAAGGTGATATAAAAACCACAGGAAACATTCCTCTCTAAAGTAAAGTTAAAGCCCCCCAACTTCTTACAGATTGGCCCATGGCACAACAGTTGTGTGATCTTGTTTTGCATTACCACATAGCATTGTCCTGAAAGTTTAATAAAATGTTAAATCAAAGTGCACAAAAACATTTCAAAAACGCAACTCCACATCCTCCGCAACTGCCCAAACCATATTCCAAAATTATCAAAATATTTAACATAAATAAAAATAAAATAGACTTTGCAAATGTTTTTGGTAGAAATTGGCCTGCCTCAGGACAGTATGTGAGGAATTGAATAGACAGCAAATTAAGGGCCACTAGGTTTTAAGTTGCAATAAAAATTAGAGTGTATTACTATTGCCCCAAAAATTTTATTGGACAGTAGTGACAAAGAAACATTAAATTCCACATGTCAGTGAAAGGTAGGGGGATGGCTCTCATGGCAAAATAATGCTGATGGGTACCTGCTATTGTGGTGTAGCACAAGCCATAAATTCGAGGAGGGGGGCTTTTGGATCTTAGGGAAGCAATAAAACATAGGGGATTTTCGAAAATCAATAATCAAGAATAGCGTTGGGCTTAATGTTTGAGTTGAACATAAGTTCAACTTGACCATTGGCCGTACGTGTGTTCGGAGAACACACGAACAGTAAGGGCGTTCGGCGGGCTGTTCGCCCACCGTGCCCCACAATGCACTGCACCGTGCCCCACAATGCACTGACACCCCTGACATTGCATTGTAATTGGCCAAAGCAATGCACCTGACCGCAGGTATGATGCGTATGATGATGTCACAAGGGGGCGGGGGTGACTTTTTCATCCCAGGACAGCTGTCAGACGGCAGGAGCCAGTGTCGAGAGCGGAGTATTTTTTTTTTCTTTTTCTTTTTTCGGATTGGTGGTGGCGGCAGGAGCCATGTTATTTTTTTTTTTTCTTTTTCTTTTTTCGGATTGGTGGTGGCGGCAGGAGCCAGTGTCGAGAGCGGAGTATTTTTTTTTTTCTTTTTCTTTTTTCGGATTGGTGGTGGCAGTGATTGACGTTGGATCTACTTTGGGGGACTTTTTTTATTTTTGTTTTTTAATAAAGGACTTGTAAGAGGCTGTCTACTGTAATTTTTTACAGTACACTTTTTTTTTGTGAATGAGTAGCGGTATGCGCCCCATACTCATTCACATGGGGGGGCGTGATCTGGGGGCCCCCAGATTCCAATAAGCCCCTCCCTCAGACCCCCACAACCATGGGCCACAGATGTGGGGAAGAGGCCCCTTGTCCCCATCAACATGGGGACAAGGTGCTTTGGGGGAGCTCCTCTTGCCCCAAGCCCCCCCCATGTTGAGGGCATGTGGCCTGGTATGGTTCAGGGTGGGGGGGCGCTCGCTCATCCCCCCCCTTTCCTGACCTGCCGGGCTGTATGCTCGAATAAGGGCATGATGGCATGTGGGGTTCCCCTCAAAATCCATACTAGACCTGAAGGGCTTAGTATGGATTAGGGGGGACCCCATGCAGTTTTAAAAAAAAAAAAAATTAATTACCAGGCCATGTCAGCAATTCTTTTTACATTCAGCTGACAACTGAAACATTAAAAAATGTTTTCACTACTAAAATACTGCATGACTTAATAATATAACTCATGCATTGTTTTAGTAGCTGTGTGGTATCTTATCACATACTATAGATGCAGTAAGATACCGTTTAGTGAATTGTCCCCCTCTGTTCGAAATTCATGGTCGAACTTTCGTTAGGTTCAAATGTTGGACCGCGAACCAAACGGGGGGTGTTCGGCCCATCACTAATCAAGAAGTATTGAGTTTGTCATCAGTGATGCCTTGTTCTGAAGCTTTCATAATGACCTTGTCTATCCTAACTTTAATCCCCACTAGCAGATCGCCTTGCAAATTGCAGTTTTTTTTTCTAGAAGATAACAGTTGAGTTACTTCAGCATGGTAATCACATTTATTCAGCATCTCCATCCTTCTCAAAAACTTAAAAATGAAATCTTTGTTTTCACAAAGTGTTTTAAGAGCTGTCCATTTCTATTGGGATAAATTCCTTTGGGGTTGTCCACGATACTGTTGTCAATGGTTGCAATTGACATCCTTCTGTACCAGCTTAACAAAGGCCTCCGCCATGTTTCCCCAGCTTTGTCTTCTTGTGTTGGTCCTTTCTTGTGCTAAAAAATTTGGTTGTGAGGAAGTTGAAGATTCACTAATATTTGTGTCTGATTGTGAGGACTGTGTACCTTAATTTCTGTTTTCTCTCTTTTTAATCTGTGTTCGTATTTCCAAAGCATAAATCCAGTCTTCCTGATAATCTATGATGTCCCTCCTACATTTATCAAGTTTTGTTATCATAACCTGTTTTGTTAGTTTTCTAGAAATGTAACATACTGTATGTTTCGAAAAAATTTTAGAGAATTGGTCAGTTCTTCAGATTTAGTTATTTCACTCAGAATACACTGTATCGTTAGACCAATGAGGACCAGACTGCACTTGTTAATGGTGCAAAAACAATTTTCGCAAAATTCTTTATTAGAGCAACAAAAGGTAGGGAGAATATTGAGTCTAATTCAATTTCCTTTAGACTTACCTTCAACTATGCCGTGCAAGGACCTGCCTGATTGCTTACAAATTAGTTTTGGTAAATCTAAAGGAAAATTGTATAATGCATGGCCAGCCTTAACCCTCTCAGGATTCTTTTAGTTCTGAGCAGGGGCGGACTGACCATTTGGAAACTCAGGCACTGCCCGAGGGCCCTGGGTCAGTAGGGGGTCCCATGAGATGCCCCTGGTACCTTTTTCATAGGCTTTTTTGAGTTTGGGCAAGGGCACAGGGGCCCCATGATCCCCTATTGCCCGGGGCCCCATGAGTTTGTCAGTCCGCCCCTGGATCTGAAAAAGGCACCAGTAGTCAGATCCTATAACCCATGCTAAAGAGATACAGAAAATACATGTAATCAGCAATAATAGGCCCCCTGCACACCATTATACTACCAATGGAGGTGCCTAAACCAGTTACCCTACATGGTGCACACACATTATACTACCAATGGAGGTGCCTAAACCCCCTACATGGTGTATCAATCCGTACAATAGTTTTAAATCTATAGAGCAAGTACACCATATATAACACAAATGCTTTCCAATAAAGCTGTCCTCGGTAAATACATACAATTATACAGTATGTGCAAATATCTAAGTATGTCATATTACCAGAGGCAGACTGACAACTCATGGGGGGCAATAAGGGATCTGGGGGCCCCTGTGTCCTCGCCCACACCCAAAAAAGCCCATGAAAAAGCCAATAAAAAGTACCAGGGGCATCTCATGGGGCCCCCTATTGACCCCGGGCCCTCGGGCAGTGCTGGAATGGTCAGTCCGCCCCTGCATATTACACCAAATATACTACAGCATAGGTATTTCCTCCACTGTCAATTTTAACCAACAAACTAAAATATACACATATATAAGGTACAGTGAGCACCACATAAGTCATATATGGCAGCTGATGTTCAGAAATACATACTAGAACTGAGCATCCATAATGGAATAATGAGAAGGATAGCCGATCCTGGTGAAAAGAGAGAGGAGGAGGAAAACCCGCACATTTTGATGGAGAGAAAGTGGGTTCTTACCCCCCTTCCCCTCAAAACATTGAGTTTTCCACTCTCTTTTTACCAGGGTCTGACTCAGATATCCTTCTCATTATTCCGTCTCAGAATTGAATGTTCCGTAGCAGCAGTAGAAGCAAATATAACTTACAGACAGAAGCAGGGGCGGACTGACAACTCATGGGGCCCCCGGGCAATAGGGGATCATGGGGCCCCTGTGTCCTTGCCCAAACTCAAAAAAGCCTATGAAAAAGGTACCAGGAGCATCTCATGGGGCCTCCTACTGATCCTGGGCCCTTGGGCAGTGCCCAAGTTTCCAAATGGTCAGTCCACCCCTGGACAGAAGTACTGATAGAGCGAAAAAAAAAGCAGTAGTGTCAAAAAATAAAATGTAAGCAGAGAAGCAGAGATTCAACAAAAGTAAGGGACAGAACATGTTACAATTGCAAGGACCAGCTTGACAACAAAGTGTGAAGCTATAGAACTAAGCAACAATGTGGTCAAATATTTGAAATTTGAGAAAATAGCATCCAGTTATCCTTCACTCCTTTCTCATAACTAAGAGATTACCCTTTCACCACTGATGTGATCTATTGCATTCACAGGAGTGAAAACATTTCATGTCAGTTATTCCATTTTTACAGACTTTAAGCTCAATTCACAAAAACATATCCATGCTGTATCTCTTCAATGTATGTGGATTTTTTTCTTCTGGTGTTGTAAACAATAAAGATTTTTGATTCCATTGAACATGTTATTGCACAGATCAGATCAGCCTGTTTCTCACATAAGTAATCACTTCTTTAAGCGTTTCAATACCGGGCAATTTTCCCCCTTCCTGCCCAGGCCATTTTTCAGGTTTCAGCGCTCTCACACTTTGAATGACAATTGCGCGGTCATACAACATTGTACCCAAACTAAAATTGTATCATTTTCTTCACACAACTAGAGCTTTCTTTTGGTGGTATTTAATCACCGCTGGGGTTTTTATTTTTTGCAAAATTAACAAAAAAAGACCGAAAATTTTGAAAAAAAAAAACACGTTTTTCTTTGTTTCTGTTATAAAAGTTTAGAAATAAATAATTGTTCTTCATAAATTTAGGCCGAGATGTATTCTGCTACATGTCTTTGGTGAAAATAACCCAAATTAGGATGTATTTTTTAGTTTGTAGGAAAGTTATAGAGTTCACAAACTATGGTATAGATCTGAATATTGATCAATCCTGAAGTACTGACAGCCAATCTAATTTCTTGAGGTCCAAGAATGTCAGAATAGTACAGATATCCCCCAAATGTCAGGACAGTACAGATATCCCCCAAATGTCAGGACAGTACAGATATCCCCCAAATGTCAGGACAGTACAGATATCCCCCAAATGTCAGAACAGTACAGATATCCCCCAAATGTCAGGACAGTACAGATATCCCCCAAATGTCAGAACAGTACAGATATCCCCCAAAATGTCAGGACAGTACAGATACCCCCTCCAAATGTCAGAATAGTACAGATATCCCCCAAATGTCAGGACAGTACAGATATCCCCCAAATGTCAGGACGGTACAGATATCCCCCAAATGTCAGAACAGTACAGATATCCCCCAAATGTCAGGACAGTACAGATATCCCCCCCAGGAAACAGATCCCCCCCTTTTTGCAGAGTAGACAGTCCGACGTACTTCATAAGAGGAATGGCGAGTTTTTTGAAGTTGTATTTTTTTTGTCATAATTTTTCGGAAAATGAAAAAATGGCATCGATTCATTCAGGTTTTTTTTTTTTTTTTTTTTTTGCTTAGCTGTGATTTGGACACAGCTAATCACATGACATGTGCATGTGACCTGCTGTGACCATTCACAGCTAGACACTAGTATACAATGGATGGCATTAATGAAGCCATCCATTGTATACAACTGTCATGTGACCTGCTGTGATTGGCCACAGCAGGTCACATGGTACCGGCAACGGGGGCCGGCACTCAGATCTGTCATCGGCCGTGTCCGAGGTACACGGCCGGTGACAGATCTTGCCGCTGCGCGGCTCTGCAACCGCGTGAACTGCGCATGTGCGGGAGGATGCCAAATGGCGTACCCCCGGAAAGCTAAAGCATTTTTGCAGCCCGCCATTCGGCTATTGGCCGGGCGGCTAATGGTTAAAAAAACACTATTTTTTGGCAACCCAGAAAATTAACTTTTAGTTAAGTCACTTAATTAAAAAAAAGAAAAAATGTATATATATATATATATATATAATATATATATATATACACCACACACATATACAGTAAGTGTCAATGTCTTACACTGGGTTTAAAGTTTATCTCCAGGTTTCCTGCTACTTTAAATACTTAGTTTGAATCAAGCTGGTCCAAACAAACTATTTCCTTTACTAACTGCTGCATTGGCTCTAAGTGTTGTGTAAACTGTATATAATGCTGAGTTCCAGCTGCGAGGCAGGGCCCTCCCGTCTCACACCCAGCACATTGTGGAATTAGTCTGAGCAGTGTTCAGCCATTCATAGGCAACTTTTATTTTGTGAATTAATACAAAGCTCCTGTCATTGGTTGAATTTGAGATTTTGACATCACCAGCGCAACTCTCCGCCTCAGAAAATCACAGAAAGCTTCGTATTCATTCACAGAATACAAAGCTGCTTATGAATGGCCGAGAACTGCTCAGACTGACTATTTTGTTCCGGGTGAGAGACAGGAAGATTCTGTCTCACAGATGAAACCCCTCATTGTGTACTGTAAGCAGGGTTCGACTGACCATTTGGAAATTCGGGCACTGCCCGAGGGCCCCGGGGTCAGTAGGGGGCCCATGAGATGCCCCTGGTACCTTTTTTATAGGCTTTTTTGAGTTTTGGGCAAGGACACAGGGGCCCCATGATCCCCTATTGCCCGGGGGGCCCATGAGTTGTCAGTCCGCCCCGACTGTAAGTATCTGGAGCTACATACCGTTCATACAGCACTTAGATCCAATGCAAGGGGGTGAATAAAGTTCAAAAGGGCAGTATTTTCAATATGAAAACAAAATATCAAAAACAGAGGGACATTACCACAAACTAAGGGCTCGTTCACACTGGCTGTTTTGCCAACGCTTGCCAAACGCCCCTATAGCGTTTGGCAAGCATTGGTCCGGCGTTTGCGGAGTGTTTTTTTAACGCTCGGCAAACGCTCCGCAAACGCCGCATGCGCGGTTTAGCGGCAGTTGCTAGGCATTTGCCGAGCGTTAATAACGCCCCACAAACGCCTATAATGCAGTTTGAGTGGTGTTACCGCTCCGCAAATGCCCCGCAACCGCGTCGCAAACCGCACCGCAAACGCCAGCCGGGCGTTTGCGGAGCGGCACCATAGACGAGAATAGGAGGCTTCAAAGCTGCAATGTAGGCACCGTCGTGAGGCTTGCACTCTCTAGAGTAAACCGGACTCTGTAGTAGAGGAATAGAGAAGAGAGAGAAGTGCGCCAGACGAAGTGCAGTAGGATAAAAACAGTTTATTGCACACAAGATATTAAAAAACTCACAAGACGTGGATATACATCAGGTATAAGAAGGAGGACGTCATCTGAACTGCACAGGTCTGATGAAAAGGCTGGTTGCCTTGAAACGCGTCACCGCCCCTTTTGGACGACTCCTAACAACGTCTTGACGTCACTTCCGCTCGGCAGCCATCTTGGATGCGTCTCAAGCTGGCCCCATCAACCACGCTGATGTGAGAGACCAGCAGCGCCCACACTGAGCTCGGTTTCCCCCGTGCACCGCGACTCCCGGTAACTGCGCCTGCCATCCTCGCTCCTTCCGTTGGGACCCGCCTAGAGCGCCAGCCATTGGATACACCTTGGCACTGCAGCCATCCACCTGTGATGCGCAGTTCAGATGACGTCCTCCTTCTTATACCTGATGCCTGATGTACTGATTTTACTAGTTATTTGTGTATGATGACATAGTTATTTATGACTGGCTGTAGAGGAGGGCAGGAAAGGCATACTGAGGTTAGGAAATGATCCAAGCAGGGGCGGACTGACAACTCATGGGGCCCCCAGGCAATAGGGAATCATGGGGCCCCTGTGTCCTTGCCCAAACTCAAAAAAGCCTATAAAAAAGATACCAGGGGCATCTCATGGGGCCCCCTACTGACTCCGGGCCCTCGGCAGTGCCTGAGTTTCCAAATAGTCAGTCCGCCCCTGCATCCAAGGCAACATAGTGGAACTGACCAGATATGACTGCAACGTAAAAATGTTGAAAGCTTAATGTAAAACATTACATAGACCACAACAACTTTCTGAGTGTCATCTCAAGATAATTTTTCTGATATGAGTTAAATATAAAATTGTGTAGACAGATGCTCACCCACATATTTAAGCTTTAAGGTCTTAGTCACATCAAAATATAATTTCCCTAAAATTGTTGGTTGTGCAGCAAGTTAGAGTCAGTCAGTGAAGCCGGCCATACCCATATGGAAGAAAAATATATTTGAATTATATTTTAAAAATGTTCTTCCCAAATATATTGCCATATATATTTGAAATACTACAATTTTGGCCGTATTCAATATATTTCAATATATATATAGTATGTTGAAATGCCTTTTTATTACAAAATATAGGAAAAATATTTTTAAAAATACATTTCAAATATACTGTATGTCTTTGAAAATACAATTCTACATTTTTGGAACGCATTTACAAACATATGTAAAAATATATATTAAAATTACTTTTTTATATGTAAAAAAAAAATCTGAACAATATATTTAAAAAATATATATTTTAAAAAATAAAGATATGTGTAGTGATCTGGAAACTAAGGTCAGATATGGCTAAAGGGCAAAGATTTCAACGTCAATAAGGATATCTTATATATATATAAGGATAATATAGCGGAGAGAAAAAGGTTTAGATCTGGGAAGAAAATATCAAAGCTGCCAAAGCAAGGGAAAGGGAAAACATAAGAAGAGGGAAGAAAAAGGGGGAATAAAAAGGACAAGGGACAGAAAAAAGAGGGAAGGAAAGGGGACAGGGGATAAGAAGGGGGAAAACGTCAGGGGGTCAACTGACTATGGAATGCATTTGTACCCTGTCTGCTCTGCAGTGAGAACTGAGCAATCAAATACCGCTGATCACTCAGTTCTCCCCCTCCGCTCTGAGCAGAGAGCCATGATTGTCCGTCTCCGGCTCTCTGCCCTGCCCCTCCAATGCTCACTGGAGCTCTGGGCTGTGGGAGGGGTGTGAGGGGCTAGCACAATCTCTCGCCAGATCACTGAGAGATTGAGCCAAGTGTCGGAATAGGCTTCTGGGTGGATCCCAACCATATGGTCGGGATCTTTTCCAGGGCTGTGGAGTCGGAGTCGTGGAGTCGGAGGAAAGTTTGGGTACCTGGAGTCGGAGTCGGCAAACAATGCTCCGACTCCGACTCTGACTCCGATTAAATTTAGATTGGAATTAAAAAAAAAGCAAGTTTAAATGTCCCAATTCACAAAAAGTTATAATTAATGACTTCTCTACTGTGAGAATAAAGACCAATGCATGCAGTGCCTCACGTAACCGCAAAACGAACACGTTAAGTGACCGTGAAGAAGCATGCTTTTCATGTGCTTCACTATATGGCACGCAACGCACAATTAGGAGCGGCAATACTTATACTTTCCATAGTGTTTTACAGATTTTTTATTTGGTTCATATAGATAAGCTTTGTTTTTGTTCTAAAACAACCAAATAATGTGGTTTGTATTTTTGGACTGGTAAAGTTCCTGTTCCTGATGTTTATGCCTGCTGCTACTATCCAGCCACTTGATTAATTAATAAAAAAAATTTATAAAACTTTGTTGTTTTCATTGTGTTTGTCTTTTGCTTAAACTGTTCAATACAGTAGACTGTTGGCTTCCCAGTCAGTAGTCCTGTGG